AGCTTTTTAGTTAAATAACTTAATGAAAATGATAATTAATGAAAATTATTTATATACCTCACATAATATTTTAAGTAATTCTTTTAACACATTTTCATCACCCCACTTTTTACCAGAAATAAAATTTTCAGATTTTGGAGCTCTGACGACAGCTTCATTTACTCCTCCAAAAGCAAAAACAGCTTCTTCCACACAAGCATTATCATCCAATGTTACAGATAATGCAGCATTAACAATGGCAGTATCACCATAATGCCTTTTAGACTGTTTATAAGTTCTGATATATTGGTCTTGTTTTGAACATGGAATAAAAATTTTTTCCAAGATTTCAGAACTTTCAAGACAGTCTTGTTTATATCCCATCCAAAAAGATACAGATGGAATAGATCGACTTTTTGGTAATGTAGATTGTAAAGAAGTGAGAGAAAATATAGATTTAGATGAAAGAATAAAAGGAATCAAATCCGAATTTGACATGTTGGCAATAATATTTCCACCCAATGTGGAAACCTGACGGATTTGATTAGTAGCAAATCGCTTAAGATTTTCTAAAAGTGCTTCAAATATTTGAATTTGATGAGGCTTTAACGTAGAAAGTATAAATGTAGTTTCAGCAAATTTAAATGATTGAATATCAAAAAAAAAAAATGTGAAAAACGTAATTTAAAATTGTTTTCTTAAAAACCTTATAATGATTGCATGCTTCTTTTAATACTTTGTTGGCTTGATAAATACTCATATTTGCACCAAGATATAATCCATCATCTAATTGAAATTATAAATAAAATATTTGGTGGAATTATATGATATAAATTAACATTTAAATATTAAAATAACATAATTACCTTTAAATTCCCAAGATTTCAATTCTGGTACATCACCCATATAAATTAAAATTTCACGATGCAAATTCAAAGATTTTTTTTCTATACTAATTCTAGTATTGCCAGATACCAGTGTAGCGTTTGGATACTCTGATTTCAAGAATAATAACTGATTCAAATCAACAGGTCTGAACCATTTTGTTTTGCTACTATGAAAATGCAAAGGTTTAAGTTCACATTTCATTAAGGTTGGAGGAAAAATCAGTTCTTGAGTTGCATCATATTGTTTGAATTTTATCTTATGTTATAAAATAATTTAAATGAATTAAATTTGTGAAGAGCATTTCAAATACACAAAATTCTAACAAAAAATACTTACTTGCGTAAAGTTATGGTCGAAATTAGTATCAACATTATTCAATTTGCAGCAATCGGCTTTACCACATCCTCCATTCTAAGTGAGACAAATCAGCAATTAATTTAGAAATAATGTATTAATGTATGAATTTATTTTGATTATACCTCTTGAGGCTTATGATTTTCATAAGGACCATCGATTTCCATATTATTCGCAAACTATTGAGGAATATAAGTTTTTATGTTCTTAAAAAAAAACACACACACACAAATAAATAAATATATATATTTACCGTCTTTGCGGCATCCAGTATAGGGCGATAACCAGTACATCTGCAAAGATTACCTAAAATGACAAGATGTTTTTATTATGAAAATTCAATAATTATTGTGATATGTACGAGAGAAACTGAGATTACCATCAAAACATTCTTCAACCTCTTCCTCAGACGGATTCGGATTATTGCGTAATAAACTATAAAGTGACATAATAACTCCTGGAGTGCAAAATCCACATTGTGAACTAAATAGTTATAATACATTTAAAAAGGTTCGAATAGGTAAATTACCAATTTAAGTAGATATGATATGTATAAAAAAAAAATATAATTTACCCATTCATCAAGGCTATACGTTCCTAATAATTGATTGTATCATTAATTTATATAGCATTAAGATAAAATCTCAATCATAAAATTTATGATAACAATCCATAAATTTTTTCATACCTGAACAGGGTGGGGGTTTTTAACATTCCCAATTCCTTCGATTGTTATGACATGTTTACCGTCAACAGAACATAATGGCGTCAAACAAGCATTAGCCGAAATATGGGAAATCTTGTCGGATTTTTTATCATAAGAAGATATCATTATAGTACAAGCACCTTTTTTTGATGAATAAATGAATTA